TTCGTATTGCTATTCTTATTCTTATAATGAATATTATTAGTAGTACTTCTATTAATACTCTCATTATTAGTATTGTTATAGTACTTCTCAGGGTTCATCTTATTGGTTTGTGTATGGTTATTTTTTGGTGTTCATGATATGACTCTTTGCATTGCTATTATCACTTGGTTTCATTGTTACTAGTATGATTATCCTTGTTCTTCTTCTTCTTCTTCTTCTTCTTCTTCTTCTTCTACACACACACACCCCTGGTGTGCTCGCCGCCAGCTTGTGCCGTCGTCTGCTCCTCGGCATCAAGCCTCCTCCGGGAGAAGCTGCGGGAAAGCCCGTTCGCCACGGCGTTCGAGTTCTGGAGGTCTCCCGGGGGGCACCGCCAGGGGCGGACTGCCTGCTGGCCCAGGAGGAGGAGGAGGAGGAGGAGGAGGAGGAGGAGGAGGAGGAGGAGGAGGAGGTGGGGGAGGAGGAGGGGGAGGAAGGAGGAGGAGGGAGGAGAGGAGGAGGAGGAGGGGAGGAGGAGGAGGAGGAGGAGGAGAGGGGAGGAGGAGGAGGAGGAGGAGGAGGAGAGGGGGAGGAGGAGGGGAAGGAGGAGAGAGGAGGGAGAAGGAGGAGGAGAGATGGGAAAAGGAGGAAAAGGAGGAAGAGGAAGAGGAGGGGAGGAGGAGGAGGAGGAGGAGGAGGAACAGGGGGAGGAGCCAGGCCCCTCCCGTGCTTGCTGCCACGCGAGGTCGGCGGCCGCGGATGCCGCCTCCTCGCCCTCGAACGTCGTCGAGGGCGAGGCGGGCTCTGGGCCGAGCGCCCGGGCGCTGCGGCACGTGGTGGCCGCGCTGGCGGAGCCACCGCCCGCCGAGCGCACGCCGGCCGAGGATCGTGCGCGGAGATCACCTTAAGTGGGGCCTGTCCCTCTACAGGGGGATTTTCGACGAAGAAAAAATACCAAAGAAATAGTGCAAACATAATTTGGGGACTATTTTTGAAGTATTGTTTGGCCTTTGGGGGGCATTTTTGGTGTATTTTTTTTTTCGTCGAAAATCCCCCTGCAGGGGGACACGCCCGAGATAAAGATAACCGTAAGTCGGGCCTATCCCCCTGCAGGGGGGATATTCCAAAATGGTTTAAAAAATAGTCGGTGGGCAATGTTTGGATTATTTTTGGGCCATGTTGGTGTATGTTTGGACTACTTTCTATGTTTTTGTTCAAAATCGCCCTGTAGGGGGGCACGCCCGACCTACAGATAGGCATCGGAAACTAGAACATACCCATTGCCAGTGGCGGGCTGCTCCTCAGTCCCAGGGCTTCTTGAGGGTCGAGGCCGACGCTGGGGTGGTGTGGTGTATACTTGGTGTGCCCGATGTCCCGGGGAAACAACGAAACGTGTATACACCAGGGTCCCGCATACACCAGGACCCGCTCCCTGGTGCAATTTCCAATGCAGGGCCGAAAGAAGCGTCGGTGTATAGAGTTCGTTTCCTAAACCAAGGGCCGACCACAACGCTGTTTAGCTTTGTTTGGGCCCGTGTTTTGTTGTTCGCTTCGTCTGTCGTTGCTGCTTCGTCTCGCTTCTTTGCTTGTCACTTTATAAACGCCCCGTTTCGTCGTTCGCTCTTCGTGTGGCACCAGCTTCGTGTCGAACGTTCGCTTTCAACGTGGGCCTCGTTTCTTTGTCCATTGTAAAGTCGTTGTTGCCCCTGGGGACAACGCCCATCCAGACAGACTTTTTTTCGTCCGGGGCGAGGCAGAGGCAATCCGCGCCAGCGCGGGGCGAATCGAGGCAACCGATGGGCAGAGTGTCCGGGCGCGCAGGAGAGAAGGGCCACGACGAGTGGGCGGCCGCGAGAGCGGTGGAGGGCCATCCGGAAAGACAGGTCGACCGAGGAAATCCGCGCTGGTTCATTGGACCTCGGCGAGTATCGGAGCTGGGACACCGACCAAAAATATCGGCGTTTGCGTGCCAGAACGTCTTTCCTTTGCGGAGCTGGGCGCCCTGGCGCGGGCGGCCGAGCGACCCCTGCAGCGGGACACCCTGGCAACATGGCTGCCGCCGCGAAAACTGTCGGTTTAACGCTGGCGCCGCGCAAGGGCGGCGCCGAACAGAAGCCGGTTTCGATTCGGGGCTTAGGAAGCGGGGGTCCATGCAAGCGGGGGTGAGCCCGAGAGCTGGATCCTGCAGGATCCTGCAGGGCCAGGCTGCATTGACCCCATCTTGGGCGCAGGATCCTGCAGGACCATGCAGGATCTTGCAGGATCCTGCAAGGCTTGACGGACCCGGGGTTGGACTGACCCGGGTCAGGAGATGCCCGATCGATGATCGACGCGCGCGTCGCCGATACATCCGGTTGTTTGTGGACGTCGATGGGTTGCCCCGCTGGGGTGCAGTCGGATAGCGGAGGCATGCGCGCGTGGATCGCCTTTGCCAGCTTCCGTTACGGGCTGTTTTGCTAAAGGGTGTTCTGTTTATGCCCGAGAGGACTGGAGGAGAACCACCATTGTTCAACAAATGCAGAGGAGGAAGATGTACCCATACCTCTACCTTTTCCTCGTTTTCTCTTTTTCTGGGCCTCCTCGGAGGCCCTCGTCGCCACCGCTGAATTCGCTGCGGATTTCTCGGGCAGAGCGCACCCTGGGAGAGGTCTGGGGAGTGGCGGCATCGGTACTTCCAAAAATATGGCGCTCCCATTGGCCCCATATATGCTTGAATACACCATTTGACCGCATAGTGCCGCCTCCTGCGCGGCCAGCGTGTTCCCCTGGCTGAGCCGACCTGTCATGCGTCATGCGGCGTTGTTTGCGAGCGAGTGAGGGCAGCCACTGGGGATCGATCCTCTTCCCCCTCCCTCTCTCGTGCGCCTTCCCTCGTTGTCCTCCCCCTGTCCCTTCCCTCCTACATCTCCCTTTGCTCCTCCTCCTCCTCCCTCCTCCTCCTTCTCCTCCTCCTCCTCCTCCTCCCTCCTCCTCCTCCTCCTCCTCCTCCTCCTCCTCCTCCTCCTCCTCCTCCTCCTCCTCCTGCTCCTGCTCCTGCTCCAGCTCCTCCTCTGTCCACGCAAGGGTGTCAACGTGGCCCGAGGGCCAGAGCCCCCCCCCTGCAGGTCCGGAGTTCCAGCGACGTGCTGCAGGGGGCCAGACGGCACCCACCGAAGCTGTCCGAGGTCCGCGTAGATTTGTTGGATCGGCGCTGGACCTCCCCTTCCTGGTGTTTTGATGGGCCTGTTTTCCACCACCACCACCACCACCATAACTTGGAGGGGGAAGGAGGTGTAGGACGAGGAGGAGGACGAAGAGGAGGAGGCGAAGGAGGAGGAGGAGAAGAAGGTGGAGGAGGAGGAGGAGGAGGAGGAGGAGGAGGAGGAGGAGGAGGAAGACGAGCAGGAGGAGTAGGACCCCCCTCCCCCTCCAACTTATGGTGGTGGTGGTGGTGGTAGTGGAAATCAGGCCCATCATGCCTGCCAAGGTCGGCATCGGAAACGCCGCAGGCGGCGCCCCTGGCGCCGCCGCAGGCGCGCTCCGCGAGCCAGTTTGTTTGGGGGGAGCCCGCCTCCCAGAGGAGGCGCGCGACCGCGCGGGGGTCAACGAGCTGATCCTGCAAGCCCCCCTCGCGTGGGCGCTCGCCAGCGACGGAGCCGACCTCGTGGTGGAGGCGATCTCTGGCAGCCTGGACCTGCTGGAGCCCCTGGCACGCAGCCGCCTGGCCGGCGTCCTGCTGGAGCAGCTGAAGCAGGGGTCGTCTGACGACAACCCCACCGCTGCCGGCAAGGCGAGGAAGAAGGAGAAGCTCGTGTGGCAGCTCCTCAAGACTTCGCTTGGTGACTCTCTGATGGAGCTGAAGCGGCTGATTGACACCGCGGGCACCGGCCAGAACCTGCTGTCGGTCTGTGGGGAAATTTCCCCCGAGTTGTGCACGTCGTTGATGGACCACTTTCTGGTGGAGGGCTCCAAGGTGATGAGGAAGCCCATACACGTGCTTTCCGACATCGACATGACCGTGTGGGTCGGCACGTTCGGAGCGGGCGGGCCAAAGTTCCCCCAGGGCCCGATCCCTGGCGCACTGCAGCTGTTCCAGGCGCTCGGCGGCCGCATCACCTTTCTGTCGGCGCGCCCGCCAGTGTGGGAGTCGCGCACCCGCGGCGCGCTCCTGGACGACATCGGCATCGCCGAGGCGACCGTTCTGCAGGGCACCCTCGAGAACGTGGTGCGGTGCCTCTTCCAGCCAGCGGAGGCCCGGCGGGGGATGGGCCAGCAGAAGGAGAAGGCGTTCAACGAGTTCGTGGACCTCTACCCCGAGGCTCGGGGGGGGCCAACGGCGGCCCTCCCGCCCCCCAAGTCCGCCCAAAGCAGATGCCTGGACTCCTCCCAGGGTTAAGTCGGGCATGTCCCTCTATTAGTCTGGGGACGATGTTTGTTGCCCTTATTTTTGAATATCTGGACTAATTGCAATTTGCTCCACCAAAATCGCCTGTAGGAGGACATGCCCGACCGAATCCCAGGGTTCCATCCCAGCACGCCTCTCGAGGCGGATCCAGCCGTGGCGGCGGGAATCCCCCAGGATGAAGTAGGACACGTCCCCCTACACGAGGGATCTTCAAAAAGAGTCAGACAAATAGTCTGGGGACGATGTTTCGACTATCTCTGCTGATTCTTGAATGTTTGTTGGGCTATGTTTTGATGTTTCGCCCAAGATCCGCCTGTATCGGGGGAGCGTAAAACCCGGGTTTGCCAGGACTCGGGTTCGCCATCGTTTTTTGACGACCGCGCCTCGGATTTTGACGAGCGGGAGTTTCGTGGGATGTCTGCAGCGGGAGGCCTCGTCAAAATGCAGGCTCGGCCTCGTCATTTTTGTTGACGACCTCGTCGGGGATTTCCGAGTCCCCTGTACCCAGGTCTTACGTCCCCCCGACTGTAGGAGGAAGGACACGCCCGACCCGGGCCCGGGAGGCCCGGCCGAGGACGCACCGCGCAAAAGGGAGGGTCGCCGCTGCCCGAGCGGTGAGGGCCTCCAGGAGGCGCTTCCCATCGGGGGGGGGGAGGGACCCCCCGTTGTCCGTGAGGGGCTCTGGCGCCCGGGATGCCGAGGCCCAGCGTGCGCTCGATGTCCTCCTCCTCCCCCATCTCCCCCATCTCCTCCTCCTCCTCCTCCTCCTCCTCCTCCTCCCCGTAGCCATTTTGGCTCAAGGTTTTGGTTTCCCCTGGGAACAAAGTGGATACCGCTAGTCCGCGGCCAGCTTTCGTCCTTCGCCTGGTTCGCCCCAGGCAGAGCGCCGTGCGGTCCGCCCCGCACGGCCCAGCCCCACTGTGATCACCATTACGACCGGCCCATGGTACCGCCTGCCAGGCAGGAATCGGTTCTCCTGGGACCGAAGTACCCCGTCTGGGGGTGCGGCCGCTGCGGAGCGGCCCAGAATTGGGCGTGTCGAGTGGTGTGCCAGTGCGGCAATCCAGCCCCGTCCAGGATCGTTCAACGAGCAAAAGAGAATGCAGCAGCTTGGGCGCAGAATGGACCCTCGCTTGCAAAGTCAAAAGGCAAAGGTGGTAACGGATCGAAGGGCAAAGGCAGCGACGGCGGCGTTGACAACGGCAAGCTCCAGCGGCTCGAGAATCAGCTGGCGCAGGTGCTCAAGGCTGTGCAGTCAGGTACCACGACAGCGGCACCTGGTGCAGCACCCAGGTCTTCTGGCACAGGGGGCAAGCCACCATGGCATACTGCGGGGCCCACAGCTGGAGGCGCAGATACACAGTCTGAGGAGAAGGCTGACAACGGTGCCAAGCGAGATGCCATCATGCAAGAGATCTATGAGTTGGAAGATGTGCTCAAGCGACTCCGATGCAACAACGGTAATGATAGCATCAAGTCCCCGATCGAGCAGCGGCTCAAGGATCTTCGCAGCCAGCACAAGCAGCTGCGATCCCCTACGACTGCACACAGACGGGCAGCGCAGGACCTCAGTCGGGCACGCACCTCGTTGCAGAAGATGCAAGATGAGCTCAGTGAAAAGCAGGACTTCGCGAGTCGATCGCGAAAAGACAGGATGAGATTGTGGCAAAGCAAAAGGAAGTGGAGGCGCTGGAGGTCGAATTTGCTGAAACGGCTAAGCATGTCACGACCTCGACTGAGGATGCGAAGCAGGCGCCCGATCTGTCGCAGCTCTTTGATTTTGGGTCCGAGCCAGACGAGGTTCCCAAAGAGCTCATCCCGTTCCTCGAGAGCCCTGAGTGGAAGTTGCTCCAGACTTTACTCACGCAGAGGGCTTCTAAGTTGCCAACTAAGATGGATATTGATGGTGATGGTGATGATAAGCCTACTGAGAATGCCGCTGCAGCCGAGCCAGGCGATGACGGGCAAGCTGCAGGGGAGAAGCGCATGTACGAGGACCTCACCGAACCTGAACACGAGATTTTGTTCTCCCTGGCAGGAGATAAAGAGCAGTTTCGACAAAAGCTTGCCGAGTTCTCCGTCAAGCGTGCAAAGGTCAGTTCCAGTTCCTAACGCTTTCTGCTTGCGGCGATGGCTGTGGGGGCTGTCGGGCAGGAGTTCGCCTTCGGCGTCCTGCAGTGCTACGGCATCCCCGTCGTCCACGTTGCGGCCTGACCCTGAGAAGGCTGAGACCCTTGGCTGGACGGCACCCCCAACGCAGCTGCAGGTCCAGGCTTGCAGTGGGCGAGGAGAGGGAACCCAGCCTAGGGAATCGCTGGAGGGAAGGCCCACCTGTTCGTCTACTGCTACGAGGGCTACAAGTTCTACGGTATTAACTTCTTCGTGTACGCTGGCATCGGAGTGCAGCGTCGACAGTGCTGCGGATCCGAAAGTGCGTGATCCCAAGTTCGATTTTCCCCGAGTGAGTGGTTTCAAGTTATCTCATCATGGAACAGTTCCTGCAGCAGACGCTGAACACGATGATACGTTCCATGAGTTCGAATCGTTCAGCGCTAATGGTGGGAAACGCACAGTGAAGAAGAGGCTCGAGAAGAGTTCGGCGAAAGTGATTTTGATGCAAGAGATCGGACATCTCGAAGCGGATCTTGAAGCTCTTGACTCCTGGTGCGCTGCGCGAGGTTGGTCAATGCGAGCTCTTTCGTCGAAGACAACGGCTGGTCATAACACTGGAGCTGGTGTCGCTGTGTTTGTACGGACTGGAGTCGGACTGCGACCACCTGCAGCTGGAGCTGAGTGTCTTTTTCCAGGCCGACTACAACGAGTCGAGGTCGACCTACCAGGCTGGCCCGCCATCACGATGTTCAACCTCTACCTCCACCCGCAGGTAGGCCCCAGCGGGCCTAATGCCCCCATCCTCGCTGAGCTAGGCAGAATGATGCAAACGATTTCTGGACCCGCTTTATGCGCAGGCGACTGGAACCTGACCCCAGAAGCCTTGGAGGCGTCGGAGTTTCCTGTCCTGGCGGATTTGTGTGCGCTGGCGCCTGCGGTGCCAACGTGTCGAGGAGGGACAGGTTCCAGTATCATTGATTTTTACTGTTTGAATGATACGTTAATGCGAGGTTTTAAGAAGCTAGCGGTTGATATGCGCTGGACGGTTAAGCCTCATCGGCCTATCCGTCTAGCTATCTCTGACAACGGGTTTAAGCTCAAACATCTAGTGTACTCAGTCACCCCTGCGCTGCCCAAAGAGTTCCCGATAGGCCCTGCTCCTCAACCACCCACCTGGTCCATCGAGCAGCGTCTAGCCGAGAATGCCTGCGAGACTGCTTCGGATCCTACGGTTGTTCCGAGCGTGGCCTGGGCCATGCTTTCGAATGCCTGGGGTCGTTTCGCCACAACAGCGGCCAGATACCTTGGTGAGAGGGCAGGGCAGCCTTTGAAGAACCCAGGGGCGTTCGGGCGATGTTTAAAAGCGCGGTGGGTCGAAGTTTGTTGTACGACTAAGACCTCCAGTGATGTGCAAGCGATCGCCGACGGCTGGAAGTGGCTCCAAAATGCTGTTGGTCAGGTCCTGGTTTTCCCCCGCGTGGCCGACACGGCTCAAAATCAGATGATGCTTGCACAAGAGGTCTCAAGTTTTTTAGTTGACGAATTCCCAGGCCTGGGGTTGAGTGCCCGACTAGAGAGGTCCGTTCAAGTGGCGAGAGGTTTAGTCAGCTCTGAGGAAATAGACTCAGAGGCGCTGCAAAGCTTTTTAGACGATATAGACTCAGATGTCGAGTTTGCAGCTAAAGGAGAAAGCAAGGAACAGAGAGACTCGTGGCACGACTGGTGCGTGGCCGCTCGAGCTGCAGGGTCGCGAGGCTTTCACAAGATCACTGCTGTCCGCCAGGTCCGAGCGGCTACGATAGTGCAAGGCCCGAATGGACCCACTGCGGACACCATCAGTATTGTGCAAAACGAGGTATCGCTGTATAAGAAACTCTGGGGTGCGACGTCGGAGCCTCCTCGGGCGTGGATCCCTGATCGGTCGTCTTGTGAACGAGCTTCTGTTACAGCGATACGAGAGGTAGGACGCACTTTTTCGCGCAGTACCTCCAGCAGTCTTGATCATTTTCACCCGCGTTTTGTGTTGGCCCTGGATGATTCAGGACTCGAGGTTTTAAGTTCTCTTTGGCAGGCCTGCGAGGCCATCGGTTTGCTCCCTCGGCAGCTTTTGTGGGTGGTCCAACCCATGCTCCCAAAACCCAAAGGGGGAAACCGTCTCATCGTGCTTTATGCTGGTATGTACCGTGTTTGGCAAAGACTGCGGCGCCCACTGCTGACGGAAGTGAGTCGTCTGGTCGATCGTCGTTACTGGGGGGCGTCGAAAGGTCGTTCAGCAGTGGATTGCGCCTGGCTCCAGGCAGCGCGCAGCGAGAGCGATGCCGAGCAGAATAAGCACAGCGTTTTAATAGTGGCCGATTTTTCAAAGTATTATGAAACGATTCCCCTAGAAGCTCTCAGGGACAAGTTTTTGAGGTTCAACGTGCCGCTTAGTTTCCTGAAACTGGTTTATAATGTTTGGAAGGGCCCACGACTCTTGCGGCTAGGTCAGCACCATGCCCAGAGTGTGCTCTTCGCAGAAGGAGGGCTGCCCGCGGGAGATGTCTTTAACGATATCTCGATCAAGATACACGCGGTTCAGGAATTCGATTCTTTCCTAGTCAGGCAGCCTTGTATCGATTTTCTCAGCTATATAGACGACAGTGCCATCGGAATAGCTAGCAGTGACAGGCAGATAGCCAAGTCTATGGCCGTCACAGCAGGTAGAGATTTCAAACTTTGTGTGCAAGAGCGTCAGGCCAAGCTGAATGATAAGATAGCGGTAATTTCCAGTACAGACGGCCTAGCCAGAGAGGTTTGCAATGAATTACGTTTCCCTCGTGAGGCTGCACTAACGAGTGTTGCGTATCTCGGGGTAGATCAGTCTGGAGCCTCTCAACGTACTAGGCCGCATGCCAGAGATAAGCAGCGAACACGATTTTCCAAGATGCGTTTCAGGCTCAGGAAGCACAAGCGAATGGCGCGCACTGTAGCAGGGTGCACTAGGAAGTCCTTTCAGCGAGTTTTGAAGACTGGTGTTTCCACGGGTGCTGCCTTCGGCACCGAGGTCCTGGGCCTAAACAATCTTGAATGGTTTAACTTTCGAAGGCTTCAAAGCCGAGTGCATTCCCCCCAGCATGGAGGAACAAGTTTAAGCGCAAAAACGGTTCTTTTTGGAGATGAGAGTGCGAGGTCGGCGTTAGCTCCCGCGTTGCAGTGGTGTCGTATGTTGTGGCTGGCTCAGTCTAACGCCGACCGAGCGCTTGTCTCCACGCATGAGTTGTGTAGAATGTGGCGAGAAGCCAAAGCCAGCAGTCCCCGATCCTGGCATGCGAGCAAAGGGCCCCTCTCGAGAGCGAGGCTCGCAGCTTGTCGCGCAGGATGGGATGCACCCGATCCGCTCCTCTGGACAGACCACAACGGTCTACAAGTCAACATCGGCCAGTTGACTCCAGGGCTGCTTTTAGAGTTGCTCGAAGCTGGGCTACAGCGCCAGCATGAACAGGCCTTGGCGCGCAAGCTTGGTTTTGAGCAGGCGCACTGTGCGACGTTTGATCTTGTGCGCAAGCAGATCTGTGCCTCGAGCAGCAAAAAGTTTACACGATATCAACAGTTTTTGGTTCGGTGCTGTGCCTGCGATGCTCTTTGGACTGAAGAGCGAGCGCGACTCTCGGGGTACACAACCTCGGGAAAATGCAGGTGCGGTAGAGTAGACACGCTGCACCATAGGTTATACACTTGTGATCTGCCTGAGGTCAGAGAGGCCAGAGAAGCAGCCGAGATTCCAGAGTCTTTTATTTCGGCAGGATGCGAGAGCACTGATCCGATTTATACCAGAGGGCTCTTCGTCTTTGATCCCAGTGAGGTTCCCCCCCCGTGCGCGTCGAGTGGCTGTTGTGTTGTGGGGGGTGATGGCGAAGAGATCCCTCAGACTCCCGAGCAGGTGGGACAGCTTCTGGGGGAGCATCAATTGATGGAGTTAGCCGCAGACGGGTCATGCACGAAGCAAGCGTTGAGATGTCTTCGGAGGGCGGCATGGGCCATTGCGCTGTTGCGGCCAGAGAGCGAAGATGTCCTGGCGGTCCTTCGAGGCCCCGTGGCTGGCTCCCTCCCCCAGACCCCTGCTTTTGCGGAGCACCTAGCCTATGCATTAGCTGGGCAAGTTTCAGATAGAGAGACCCATGTCGGTTTAGATTGCCTCGCTGTTGTTACCACCGCTCAGAGGTCCCTCGAGGCACAGACACGGTCCTCAAATAAGTATGCTGCTGTGCGCCTGTTTGCTCAGTCACTCCCAGGCACGTCGAATATAAGCCTCACGAGGCATGTGAAAGCTCACAGGTCGGATGAGGCCATCTCTGTTTTGCAGGGTGACGAGTTGAGGTATGCTCAGGCGAATAAAGCCGCAGATGCTCATGCTAAAATCGCCTTGACTATGCACGCTCGCCCAGACCCCAGTTTCCTAGAGAAGGTCGAAGAGGCAGAGGTCAAGGCCACCAGGTTCATTAAACTGGCCGCAGCAGTACTTCCGTGCTTTCAGAATGACAAGAGGTGGTCCAGGCCTCCCAGATGCAGGCGGCCCCAGGATAAGCGGTGCAGTAGTTTTCATGAATGGGCCTCCACACTGGTGGGACACCAGTGCAAGCAGTGTTTGATTGTTGCGCCTCCTGGGGACTCGCCGCCGATGGACGGCTGCAAGGGCACCCCTGCATTCTTGCGCAAGCTTCTTGGGGATGCCAAGGGTCACCAGGTCGTTGCGGTCCAGGGCTCTGTTGTTGGTGGAGGCTCTCAGATCCCTGGGATCCCCACGAGGCGAGCGGTCCAGCAGTTTCTCTGTGTTCAGTGTGGGGGTTGGTCTCAGGGCCGCGGGGCCAAGTTGGGCAAAGTGTGCCTTCCCCCCACCAAGAAGGGGATAGAGATTCTCCAGGCTTTCAGGAAAGGGCTAGGTCCCAATCCTCGGCTACGATCGGCCATCGATCGTGTGATACCCTTCAGCCAGGTGGAGATCCAGGCTACCACTCGGGCAGAGGCTCGAGTGGTCACTCGAGTGCGGACGACGGCGGCCGCGGCGGCGACGACGACGGCGCCGCAGGAAGATCCCGCGGCGCCGCAGGATCGGCCCGCGCAGGACCCGCCGTCGTACGAGCGCCGCCTGTCGGCGCTCTTCGACAGGATCAGGGCAAAGGAGGAGGCCAGGCGAGGAACGCCCACGCCTCCCGCCTTGCCCTAACCCGTTTGTCCTTTTCCCCTTTTTTTGTGTAGTCATGTGACTTGTCCTTATGGCTGTTCTTTCTTTCTTTCCTCCTCCTCCTCCTCCTCCTCCTCCTCCTCCTCCTCCTCCTCCTCCCCCTCCTAGTCGGCGTTGAAGCTCAGAGAAGTTGAGCCCCTGACGCGTCGCTTCGTGAGGTGTCCGTTTTCGGTTCTCGAGGGGGCGCCGCGGCCGTCATTTCCCAGGCTTGCGCCCGCCAGCTTTGGGCCCGAGGGGGTCCTGTCCATCCCCGAGTTCAAGGGGCCCGCAAGATCTGGGTCGGGCCTGTCTTCTTGCGGGCGGACCCTTGGACGAACCACGAAACATGGTCAAGCATGCTCAAACCTAGCCACAAAACGTCCAAAGCACGTCCCAGACTAGTGGAGGACGACGATTAATAAATGACCGGGGGTCGTGTTCACGCGGCGGCGCCCGGGATGACGATTAGAAGAATCCGGCCGCGGGCTGGAAACTATTTGTTTAATCGTTCTCCGTCAGAAAAGTATGCAGAAATAGCAGAAACTATTTTTTTAATCGTTCCCTCCCATTTTTGTATGAATCGCCATCGCGCATTAGTGTTGGGTTTACTCGTTTGGAAGAGTCGTCCTGTCGAGGGACGGGCCCGACTTCCAAGCAAAGGCCGAGCGGGGCCCCCGCGGCCTCGACGGGCCCCCTATCATTCAGGAGGGGAACAAAAACACACAGACACAATTCATCGTCGATTCCCATGAAAATATGGGAAAATATGGGAAGTGGTGGGGAGGACAAAAACCCAGAAACTATGGGGAAAGATGGGGAATCCTTTTCTTTGTGTGTATTTATTTGTGTGTCCCAGGGCCCCTTCAATCACCCGAGAGGCGCGCTTCGTCTTCTTCGGCGACAGCGGCGAGGGGGACGTGGACTTCGCGCTGGCCTTCATGCAGGACGCCGCGGGAGCCGCCGCGGTCTCCGTTGGCCCGTCGGCATCGTGCAACCGATCCCCAACCCCCCTTCGAGACCCCGGCCAAATTACCACCCCAGAGGAGGAGGAGGAGGAGGAGGAGGAGGAGGAGGAGAAGGAGGAGGAAGAGGAGGAGGACGAGGGAAGAGGGATACGCCCCTCGAAACCCGAGGGGAACGGCATGCATCCCCATCTAGGGGGGTAAATCGGCCAGGGGGGCCCAGGCCACGCCGCTGGGGATGGGGATCGGTTGAACGATACTCAGGCCGCGTGGCCCTCATCCACGACGTGGTGGGCGCCGACGGCGTGGAACCGAAGACGAGCCCGGAGGAGCGGGAGGCGCTCGGCAGGAGAGGTGGGGCCGCACGCAAGAGGGCCCGAGCTGGATCACCGCCGAGGTTTTGCGAATGGGGCAGGGGGGCGCAGAGTGATACCGAGCGGATTATACGTAGCACCCCGCAGATGCGGATAAGAGTGAGGGGGCGGTGGGAACGTCGGCAGTTTGCGAGCTTTTGGAGAAGCCCGCCGCAAGACCCAAAAATTCACAAATTCCAAGAGTCCGCCGCAGGCGCCGATTTTTTTGTTCAACCAGTGCGGGTAGGTCGCGGGTGGGTCGCAAATTGGTCGCGGGTGGGTCGCGGGTGGGTCGCAGGTGGGTCGTTGTTGGGTCGCGGGTGGGTCGCAGGTGTAGAGGGCAAACCATCCATTCCATAAGAAGCACCCCGACAACCGAAGCCGTTTAGTAAACGCACACAATGAATGAATCGAACAGGTCAGGGATGTTTAGTAAACGCCCAGGGCCGTTTAGTAAACGTCAATTGTCGGGTCCGGGTGGTTTTTCCTCCGTTGAGGGTGGCTCCCGGGCTGGGTCGCGGGTGGGTCGCAGGGTGGGTCGCGGATAGGTCGTCAATGGGTCGCGGGTGGGTCGCAGGGTGGGTCGCGGGTGGGTCGCGGGGTCGGTCGCGGGTGGGTCGCGGATGGGTCGCGGGTGGGCGCGGGTGGGTCGCGGGGTTGGGTCGCGGGTGGGTCGCGGGGTTGGGTCGCGGGTGGGTCGCGGGGTAGGTCGCGGGGTGGGTCGCGGGGTGGGGTCGCGGGGTGGGGTCGCGGGTGGGTCGCGGGTGGGACGACGACAACAAACAACAACAGCAACAGCAGCAAGAACAACAACGACGATAACAACGCAACACGCAGAATTCTCACCGCGCACCCAGGGACAATGAATGACCGTCCGGCCCCCTCACTCTGATGATTAGCACGTGCCACAAGGTAACTCTGGTGAGTGGTCTCTGCCCACTTCGCCCAGATCTTTGCCCCCTCGGTAGCTGCTCAGGGCAGCTGCAGCGCACTGGTGCGCTGGGCTGGGCCAGATATGACGCACATGTCGTGCCCGGGGTGCAGCTCCCTACCCCCTTCAGTAACCTCAGCTGTGATCCGAGTCGGAGGGGATTCACGGACGGGCGCTCGTGTGTGTGTTTTTTACGCGTGTCGCGCCGCCGGTTCTGGCCCACCACGCTTCGGCGCGACCCGCGATCCACGTCCCAGTCCCCCAGCGTCAACGCCCTGAGCCTCTCCCAGCCTCCCGCCTCGCGGAGCGGAGCCACACGCTATCCGATGGCAGGGCAGAAGCGCGTCGCCGGAGCCGCCGCCTCGACGCGCCAGGCAAAACGTCCCCTGCCGTACCCGCAACACTCACCTGGGGGGTCAATCTCTGGCGACCTCGGCAGGCGGCGGACACGGAAGTATCTATTCATGCGCACCCCTGCACCGCCCGCTGTGGTTCGGGGCTTGGGCTCCCTCCGGTGGGTGTGGATGCGCCACCGCCTCGCGGAGTGACCCTTCGGCGGCGTGACCCCAGGTTCGCGGCTTTCGGGGGTGGAGGGGAGCCTTGAGGTTTTCTCGAGGGCCTCTCTGCGCTCTTTTGTCGACCCCTGGAGGCTCCCCTGCCCCGGGATGCGTTTCGGCAGCTGCGCCTCGCCGAGAGCACTCCGGGTGCACCCGAAACCCCGCGCGGCCGGCGGAGACTCGAGCTTGGCCCGAACGCCACACGGGCAAGAGTGGCTCTTCGTCGGAGTGGCCCTCGGTTGCGCGGCTTGGGGGGCGCGGGGGGCCACGCCGCACGCAGGCAGGCAGCGACCAGCAAAAGAAGAGCGCACCAGAGGGCACTCCTGCCGACAGGGGTCAGTCCTGCTTGCGGCCGAGAGGTGTGCACGTTTTCGACACGTACGTCGGGGCCGCCCTGCACCTGTTCCGCCTGGGCATCCTGGACGAGGGGCAGCTGAGGCGCGCGGCGCAGAGCTGCGCCGACGAGCTCTACGAGCGTGCCCCGGGCGAGTTCCGCTCGCTGGACGTGTCCAAGGCGCGCAC